TCGCTTGTGCTCTTTTTTTCATCAAACCTTTCACCTTGGCCTTGCAAACCTTCCACTCTTCCCTCAATTCTAATATAAGCTTTTCCTATAGGCAGTCTTCTTCCTGGAAAAACAGCATCTATGAAGGCTTCACTGATTTATTTACCATGCTAGTGAGCTGGAAAACTCCACTAAACTTTACCATCAGCATAAACCTAAATTTAAAGCTATCTGTCAGCAACTGTCTTCTTTTCTTCCTTTCAAAGGAAAACACAATATCCCATCAGTGCTTTCCCTTCCAAACTCAGGACAAGCCAAGAGATGCCCAACACGGTGACACTCCCATCTTCACAAGGTCCTGTACACCCTCCAGAACTGCACAACATCATGAAGGGTTGTATACTTGGGTCCCAAACCAACACAGCTGTATCAGCAAGGCACCTTACCCGTGCTAACAGAGCTGTATGGATTAAGTTCTGGCACGATCTCTGATCCCGTGCAATCATGCCAGAGAGATCTTTAAGAGCTTTTTTTACCCACTTGCCTACTTACCCACAGCCTTTAAAATCATCAGGCAGTCATCATCACTGAGGGCATCTGTTGGAATGTTGTGAAGACAAATTGCTTTTGTTTTAGCAGAAGTTATGATTCATGAGGAAATGCATATAGCTATCGTGTGGCAACTCGGTAAGAGCATCTTTTTTGCAGTCTGCCATTATCTCTGTATTGAATATAGCACAAATCCTTAGATTTTTCTGGAGCAGATGAAAGCAAAAATACGTGCAAGTGCTCTGACATTTGAAAGAGGTATGACGTAAATCTTTGGGGAGAAAGAAGTGCATCTCAGCTTGGTTTAGTTCTGCAAACAAGATAGCTATCTTGAATAAAATCCCAGAATAGTTGAGCAGTGGTATTTTTCCATCCATGTAGCCTGTCAAATTCATCCCAACCCTTCCCATATCTGAAGCTGACTTCCAGAGAAGGATCTTTTTATGAAACATTTTATATCAGCTTAGTTGTACTGAAATATGGGTAGATAATTTTTGCTCAGTGCTGCATTAATTCAGAAAATACTCCCTTTTTGGTAGAATGTGTCGTGTATGGCAAATATCACAGAAAGTGACTTTTAGCATTTGTATACAAATATTTATTGAAGCTAACATTTTCTTACATGTACTGTACTAAGTAATTCATTAGAGGGCTAACTACTCAGATAAAAAAGACTGAGGTAGCTCTGGCTTAAACTGCCACATTCAGTTTGATTGGATGCTTATAATTTGTGTATAAACTCAGTGTTTCTAAATACAGAAAATTTCCCTTTTTTAAAAATGCATCAGAAAACTATAGTTTTAGAATGTCTTTTGTACTAATTAAGCCAAAATGCATGAATTATTAAACATGCTCATTTGCGGTGCTCATGCACTTGAAAGGTTTGCTTTCATTACTAATAAGGCAGACACACCGCTGAAAAGAGGTAATTAGAGCATCAAAGGCAATGAACCATCCTGAAACTTCATAATACATTGCCTGAAAAAAAATCATAATTCAGCTGAATACTAAGAAACCAAAAAATGTTTATACTGTTGTGTCCAGAAAGATGAGAACCAAAGTCTTTCCAAGGAACTCCATAGATATGGAAAGAGGCTTTTAATCTTCTGAAAAATATCCTCAGAACTGATGTAGGAATGGCAAAAGGGAACCCCTGTGGTTGTATTTCAAAGACTCTGTTTTTAAGTCAGAAACATATTAGTTCTTGTAAATCAAAGACTTTTTCATCCTGTGAAATTGTTTCAATCCTAACAATGAAGAAAAAGCTACATTCCCAAAATATTTCTTTTCCAGTTATTTTAATAATCTACTTTGTTTTATAAGTAGTTGCAGACAAAGATGCTTCTTGCAGATAAGAAGGAGCACCATCACTTTTTGTGATAGGAAAATGTGTATATCATATCAAATAATGAATGCTCTTTGTAAACCACATCAGAGATTGTGCATTGCGTATCCAGCTTACAATTTACACTCTCTGGTTTCTCATTACTGCAATCCTGTTGGAAGTCCACCCCCAGACATTTAGCAAATTACAGTAAAATGACTGCATATTGTTTACACAGATTATTGACTATGCTTTCTTATGTAGATTTAAGGAAGAAAAAAAGGTCTTTTCTACATAGTCTGAAGTTCTTAAATACATGTGAGAAATGTCTAGACAGCAGGTTGAAAACCAACCTTCATCTCTGCAAGGTTCCACACTCCTTTTTTATAGTCTATGCATATCCATTGCTCTCAAGAAGTAGTGATGTGTTAAGATACAGAAGCAGCTCTCAGAGGCAACCGCAGGACCTGCCCATGAGCCATGCTCCGGCTGCTGCTCCGCACTGGCTCCTTTCTGAAAAATTGACTGTAAAACAGAAAATGAAGCAGTAAGAGGGAAACGACCTGGTTGGTCTTAATGAAGCAGCGGATGTTGTGCCACTTGGCAGCAGCTCGTCATGGTTGATGTCAAGGTGATAGACATCTTTGGGAAAAGGCCTGTTGTTGCAGGAAATAGGGGTGGAGGTTCAGTGCAGAAAATTGATCCTCTTTTGCTGGGGCAGAGACACCTCTAAGTCATATGGGGGGCAACAATATGAGCACGAGAGAAACCCTACTTTCTCACCCCAGCAGTCTCGAAACACCTTTGAGAAGAGGGAAGATACCACTTTGATATTATAATTAGTCAGAAAATTTCCCCACCTACTGCAACTACTGCCACCTCAGAGGTGTGCTGTCCTGCCCAGCTGCACTGGGGACCTGCACAGTGATAACCCATGCCCGAGACTTCTTATTTAGGATCTTGCAATGCTGTAAAAGATACAGGCACAGGGAGCAAGTGACACAAGTGTTTCCCATCCAGGCTCTCTCCTCCCTGTGACCCATGGAGAATGGTCTTTGGAGCAAACTACCCCCACAACTGAGTTTTGGAAGGACTTGGTCCAAAAGGGAAGCCAGAAGCAAAATAACTGGGGTGCAGCATGGATGGCCAGAGGATCAGGATCTGGGTGCCAAGGCAGCAGCGGACGTACCCACAGGCAGCTCAGTTTGATGCCTGTAGTTAAGAGGAGTGAGTTGGCATCTGCCTGCACCTGCCCCTTCGTGTGTCTGTATCCTGAAGTACTTTACCCCAGCGGCAGGTACATTGCTGTCTCAGCTGAAATACGTTACATCTGCAGAATGTGTTTGGCACGTGTAGTGTAGGAAAATAAGGTAAATGAGTAAAATGAATTAACATTACTACAATTCATTTTTCAAGTGGCAATCAGTATGATTATAACCACAAACCCCTACCTTGCTCTCTAACTTTACATAAATGTTGCTGTGGTGCATATGTCAGTCTAATCTTGAGATATGCACGTCTTACTCTATGGGGGCTAAATACTCTGTGCCATCCATCTCTGTTGGAGATGTAGCTAGAATAAAACATATGGTGTCAGACAGTGCCTGGGGGATTTCTACAGGAATAAACAGTGATTCTGTCCAAAAGCAACTTCTCAGCAATTCTCTGTCTGTGACCTGAAATTATGGATAGAGCAGATGCTGTTAGTCTCTTAGGTAAGATTTGCAGTGCCTTGACTTATCTGAGAAAGCAAAGGACCTGTTTTATTTTAGATCATTGAGCAGCTTTTAGCTTGGTTAGGAAAAAATGAAACTGTTACTCATTTTTGTATTACAAAGAAGTGCTTTCCTGGTCTACTGTTTTTGCCACTGGCACAGGTCAGCCTTAATTTCTGCTGCTGTAAATAGCTCATGTAGACACAGGTGTAGTAGTGCCAAGAGTTTTCTACTTAAAACATTGAGGATGCATGCCATCTGTAGAAGATTCTATGGTTTTTATATCAGCCATAAGAAGGAAGATATATACTTGCAGAGGTCTGTGAAGAAGAGTACATGCTATTCTTGAATGTGCCTATAACAGTTCTTTTTTCTATATATACATGAGGTTACACCATCACATACTTTTAGTAGGGAATGTCATTAGGTGTCTGACTGCCCCTCATTTCCTTGAAGCAACTTTATGAATGCCTAACAGGCAAGGCTAGAATAAAGAAGCCAATCTGATTTCTGTAACAGGTCTAATATATGTACAGATATGTGGAAGGTAACCCTCACCCTTGCCTAGTTCCAGACAGAGCAGGTCCAAGGAACCTGCTCAAACTCAGTAGCTTTGCAAAGGCAAATCCTCTGGACTAAGCAGGCTGCCATCACCAGGCTCACATAGAATTGCCCAGGAATCAGAGAAAATAATGAATAAGAGATTTCCTCCACAATATAGAAGAGAAAGGAAGGTTGATACAAGAGTGAGGGTGCCAGCCCTAATGCATTTTTTTGCCACAAAACAGCAGCATATTGATGGCTGTAGTGGTAGAAAACCAGTGGTTTAAACACAATGATGATGGATGACAGGTAAATGTTGTTACATGAGGACAAGAATGCTTTTCTGTTTTATTCAGAAATCTCTCTAAATCTATCGCCTTTACACCCATGCATACATTTTAAATAATTTATATATTTTACTCTGGAATGGCAGTCATTAATTGTAATTGTGAAGGTTTTAATTTAAAATGGAAAATAAGAGATTGAAATCTTCTGAGCCTCCACATTTTCCAAGTTTTGACAAATGAAAAGCCAGACCTTTTCTTTTAGAATTTTGAGAAGGCCTTTTCAGTTTATCTAGTTCATGCTGTGAATGCATATGAAACACATTGCACTTCTCATTATAGTCACTCTTGTGCGAAAATTAAATATTAATAGTGAATTTTTGTAGATCTGCCAAAAAGGAGTTTGTTGACCCTTGAGTCTGTAAGATCACAGCATAGTAAATGGCTGACAAACAATATAACAGTTATAAATGCTGTAGCTGGATTGATTAGAGATAATCCACTCTGGTAACCAAATCCCTTGGCTTCACTCCTCCAGCCAGTAGCTGAGTGTAACACAGCTCATGACCTTAAGTAAGGACTTGTTTTTCACTTTTGCCTCCCCAGGTGATCTCATACATTTGCCACCCTACCTTAGGATGGACTTTTTATTGAACCGTGGCATGCAGGGCACGAGCAGAGACCTGGGTTTGGGGCAAGCCTGCTTGGAGCCGCAGAAAAGCCGAACCTTGAAGCGCCCCACCGTCCTGGAGCCGATACCCATGGAAACATCCTCCACAAGAGAAGTACAGTCATGGCAACCTGGTGCTGTGGCAACGTTACCTCAGCGAGAAGGAGCTGAGTTAGGACAGGCAGCAAAAATGAGCAGCTCCCAAGAATCCCTGCTGGACTCCCGGGGCCACTTGAAAGGAAACAATCCCTACGCAAAATCTTACACCCTGGTATAACAAAAAGAGCATGGCTGGACAGTGGCTGTAAATATTTACACTGAAAAAAAAATCCAATGAAAGCTACCTTTTTTTTATTGAATTCCAATATTTATAATTAAAGAAGAAGATTGCCAAAATATTTGACAAAAAAATAATAATATGAACAACAGACAGTGCAAAGACTCTCTTGCTTTTTTTCTGTCTGAGTGTGAGCTTCATCCAACTGGACATCTGAATTTTTGGGTAAAAGAGTCCAGTTTTCTGATCTTCACAAACGTTTGTGTTTTTACTGATTTTCTACGAAGTGCATGGAGACTTAACTAAAACATTTTAACTAGAAGTTCCATCAGACAAGATTTAAAATGGAAAAAAAAATACAAAAAAAACCCCCACCCTATTTGTGAATTCAACAGGAACATTGATTTGGGAAAAAAAAAGTCTTTTGTCATGTTTGCACTTTTTTTTTTTATTAGAAAATGGGTCCTTGATTGTTCTTTTTTGTTGTTAATTAGGATGAGTGATGTCAGTGGAGTGAGGGGGTTTATTTGGGTTTTTTTAATATTAATTTAATGAGACACTCTTTGCATTTTGTCTATGCGAAATAAAAGGGTCTTCTGCCTTTATTTGTGATGTCTACTTCCATTGCCTTCTGCTGTACTTGGTTTTCCCCAAATGTAATAGCCATGTCAGTACCATACTCTGAATAATGTCTTCTTGTGCCTTGGGCTGAAAAGGAAAGTGGGGGTCATACCTTTGGAAAAAAATTGGGGTTCACTTACCCACAGTTTTTTTGCTACCATGGGGCAGAGAGACAGAATGAAGCAAGTCCCAAGTGCTCTGAATCAAACTTACCTGGGAGGGAGCTTCTGCATTTGCTTCATCAGCTGCCGGGAGGCTTTAGTTCAGCTTCAGTATTTTTTTGGATCAGAAGAAGCGTGTCGATGTTACTTCACTTACTCCCTAGGAATGGATCTTTAGTCCATTTGGGAGCAGCGCTCACAGAAATTAGTAGCTTACGTAAAAACTGGGGGAGGGGAAAAAAAAACAAACCAAACCAAACCAAGCCAAAAAAAAAAAAGTTTTTTCCGCTATTGGAGAAAGGGAAGGAAAAAGTTATTCCAGGTCTAAGATCAACATGGATTTCTTTATGGGAGAAAATCTTTTTACGGGGGAGCTGTCAGTTCATGTTACTTTGTTGCACCTTTTGATTACATGAGAAGTAATAATGCTTGTTTTATACAAAGCATAAATGATTGAATACTAGACTTGGTGGGTTTAACACAACAATGTTTGAGTTGCCTGGCTAAGTGCCTCCCTGTGTGTGTTGTGGTTATCTTTGCATGCCCTGACCAAGAGAACATGGTGCAGAGCATCCCAGGTTATTGCTAATACAAACACGCTCTTCAGCGCTGGCTGGTAATATTAACTGGGATCTGAAAGCAATAAAAAACCCAGTAAGATTGAGCAGGCTGAGAAACTCCTTCAGTTTCCCTGGGTGGTGACAGTGTGGGCACTATTAATGCAAGCATTTCTGCACCATGCTCAATTCGAGTTGTTTTAAAATAGAAAAATGCAATTATTGTTTAATTACTATTATTAATGTAACTATGCTGTTATAAGTGCACTAAGTTAGCAAAGTACTTAAGTGTCTAGAAATGAATGAAGTTGCACTTTCATCCTTAGCTCTGTCAAGCCCAAGTGCTAAAGTCCTGTGAAGTCCTACAGAAGAAGACAAATGAAGACATCCTTGAGGTATGTACTTCTTATATACCTACAGAGGAGTGCTGAGATGTCACTCAGATAAGGAACCATTTCCTATCTGATCTGGCTATTTGAGTAATATGATGACAAAGCACATTAAAATCAAAACAAAACCCCAAAACAGAAAATAACAAAAAACTCCCAACTTCTTGCCTCTGTAAAAAATAATTTAAAAATAAATTAAGAATTACCCATTAAGTATTTACAAAAAGAATCAAAAAACTGTGTGTTGAAAAAAAGATTAAATTATTAAGTTGCTTTGTTTTTTTTTTCTTCCATATACAAATATTTTGCTAATACAAATCTAATTTAAACATGCAGAAAGAAATTTCTTTTACTATTTTCCATTGAAAAACTCCACAAAAAACTAAACTTTTAGTGGAGATTTTGGGTTTTGGGCAATCCAGTTCTTTTTGATTCCCACAAGAGTCTGCGGTGTGCTCAGCTTGAGCTGGGTGGGGCATTAGTACCGCGTTCGCAAATAAGATTTTGTTTTCTTAGTAGTATTCAGGACTTTTGAGTCCCAGGCCAGTTCCATCTTCCATTCAAGCTTCCTTCTTGTCCTCTGAAAAAAGGTAGAAGGCTTTTGGCAAAATCAAGGGTTGATCCATTTGTTCCCAGGGCTCTTGGATGCCCTCAAGCACAGGGATGACGGATCCCGCAGCAATGCTCAACACCAAAACTCATCTTCAGTGACAGACAAGAACGAGCATGATATGGAGGGAGGAAATATTCACATTTAAAGCTCCTGGTGACTGCTGATAGTGGAAATATTCCAATATCACCCTAAATCTATATTCGGCTGACAATTTGTAAAGTGCCAACTGTCCTTGACTTAACAAGACTTCCTCCTCATCTATATTCAATATGCCTGGTAATATTCATCCTCCTTATGAAGTGAAGATGCCTTTGGGGGCCCCACATTCAAAGAAATTAATGGTAAGTCTCCTGCTGGTTAAAATCAGAGTTGAACCGGGCTGCTGCTTAGCACGTGGAGGCTCAGACCTGCAGGATGCCTGGCTCCATGCCCTGGATCCAGCCAGCTCTTCAGCACACATAAGTGTGAACATGTTTACAGTCCCCTTGGCTTGGGGGTTTTATTGGCTTTTAATTTTCCAAACAGCACTGGAGCAGCAGAGCTAGTTAAACATGTAATAGAAACTTTAAGAAAATGCCTGTCCTACTCTCATTTAGTCAAGGTTTGGAGGTAGAAGTAATCTCCTTTCTCAGATCAGTAGAGCTGGGAGCAGTCAAGTCCCTGCAGGTTTGTAAGACCAAGATAAGAGAAAACGTGATGATGCCTCCTTACTAGCATCATTTTAAACACTTCCCTCTAACAGAACCATCAAAAATCCATAGATCCTGTAAGTCTGCATCCCAGCATGTGATATACTTCCCCACCTTGCACCAAATGTCCTTTTGAAAAATATTAATGTAAGTGTAAAAAACAGTTGGCACCAGCATATGATCTCAAAGGACACTCCTTAAAGTACCGGAACATCTAGGTATCAAGCAAGCACACTTTGCACAGAACTCTATCTTAGTCCTGAGGGTAATATGAGACTTTACCTCAAAAGATGAAGTTAAGAACTAAAGTTCTTCCCTCTCTTCTGTCTACTAAAAATCATAACTCCATAGAGGGACTCTTTATTTTTCACATTATACTTCTCCCCATGCCCCAACCTCAGCTAACCCTTTAATGATTCACAGATAGTAATTAACTACCTCTTTTGTCTCAAATGAGTTAGCAACTCCCTCACTCCTGCCTTTTCTAAGAACCCTTTTATCCTTCTTTATTCCATTACTGTTTCACTTAAATTGTCTAACACAATTACATTAAACTCAGTAATGTTCTTCCCTCTCCTTGTTTTTTAGATTGCAGCTTGCTTTTCCTATTCAGAACCAAAGAAATTTTGATTGTTTAAAAGTTTTCATTTGGTCGATTTTTTTTTTTTTTTTAACCAAGTGAGCTCCATAGCAGTGTTACCGTGGCTAAGAGGAGTTAGGAGTTATAAGCAAGGTGAGGTGTTATTACCTCAAATAACACAGCTAAAAGACAAAAAAAGCAGCCCTGGGCTACTCTTTGGGACAAATAGAGAGTCCAGAGGAGCTTTGTGCAACCAGTTTTCCCACTTTCCCAGGGAGCTGAGGGGATGATACCCATCCCTGGCTTGCAGGTGAGTGAGTGGCAATAGGTCTCTACCTAATTCCTCGTATTAAGTAAACTGGGGTAAATGTCTTCAGTCTTTGATGACCAACATCCTTTGCCTGTACAGACAGGTATATATGAAAAGAGGGGGTTTTTGGTTGGTTTGGCTTAGGTTTTTGGAGGGTCTTTCTTTACTGAAGATGTGAACAGCAAAGAGGTGGGATAAAAGAGGCACCTGGAAAGGCAAACCAGCATATAATTTTCCTGAGTAGGTTGAAAAGCTCTCCCAGACAAGGGAGCTCTCTTAAAAGAAAGTAAAAAGAAAAATAAGCACACAGTTTGGACAGCCTGTTCACAGTTTTAGTGTTAGTTAGGTTATTTTAGGTCACAGCAATTTCTTAATGGGCTCTTACAGTTGACTATGAAGCATTCCAGCAGGGAAAAGAGAGTGCTTTCACCATTAATTTTCTCTGGGCTTGTCTGAGCCTCCCAAGGGGAACCTCACCACCTCCCCAGAGAGAAAATGCCTCTGTAGGAAGTTCACGAGCCCAGCGCAGACCACTAACACTGCTGGGGTGTCATACAGAGCACTTCCCTAGGGTTCTTTTTTATGCTTTCTGAACTATTCCTTTTTTTTCCACAATGGATGTTATACTCATTTGTTTCAGGATTTTAGGGCAGGAAGGTGCTAGAATTGACACAAAAGGGATCTGTAAGTATTTTCAGGGTTGACAAGGGCCCTGAAACCAATCCCTACTCTTGCCCATGGAAGCGTAATGCCAAAACTGATTTCCCAGAGTACTGGAAAAAAAAAATTCTTTGTGATAAACTGTGGAAGTTACAGGTTTTACATTGAAACTGCCAAGTTTTTGTTATCTGAGTCTCAGTCAGAAAACACAGCCTCCCGCTCTGCCCCAGTTCAAACCTTTAGACTCCTATTTAATTGAAAGTAAGACATTTGTTTCATAAAAGGATATCACATAATGGTGATATGGTAGAGAAACACACAACACAACAGGAAGACAATGTGAAAAAAACACTGAGAAATGCAGTCATTAAGGAAACTTGTCATAAACACTGTAACATACATTAATATGATTTTTGGAATATTGCTCAAGTTAAGTTAAGCTACATCTTTGCACCTGAAATTTTTCTAGTATGCTTTCTTTAACAGTTCTAGTCCTGGTGGGATAACAAAAATAACCTGATTCAACTTAATAGAGGGAGTAGTGGTTTCAGTGCTATTTTTAGTGAAATGGAGACCTTGCAGGGCATGGGGAGGGAAGGGAGCATTGCAGCTGGGGGTTTGGAAATACCGAACACTCATGGAAACATGTATTGTGATATATCTTCCACCAGCTCTGGCTATGGGTGATCCTGCAGCTTTTCCCTAAAGAAAGCATGCCAGATTCATGGAGGACTTGAAAATATTCTTTCCTCAGTTTATCACAAAGAATTTTTTTTTTTTT